TCCAAGCTGACCTCCCTCAACCCGAGAAACTTGTTTTCGGTCTTAATGACTGCCTCCTGGGATCGCTTAACCTTCGCCCCCTTTACGACCTGAGCCCAATTACTAGCCACCTGGGAGTCGGCACTCGACGCGCTGTCAAAGGACGAAAGGGCCACCCTCCCAGTAAAGTCCGGAAGGCTGGGGAACCCCCGGAGTGCCTCCTCCACCCTAACTACCCTCGCCACTAAATCATCCCTCTGTACCTCGCCCACCTCCTTCCTGATCCCCCTAATCTCCTCCTCCACGCTAATGAGCCTTCCCGATAGCTCCCCTAGTCGCTCCTCCAAGCTACAGACTCTGCATACCTGGCATACCTCTCGTTCACTAGTCCCACCTACCCAATCCCCGCAACGAACGCATCTACACATCCTAGGCATCCTAGGCATCCTAGGCACCTAGGCATCGCAAAAGGCAAAAGAATTTCCTTTTTGCTCTATTCTTGACATCAATTTCTTCTGCAGTTATTGGAATCTTGAGTAATTTTTAAAATTTGATAAAATCGTTGTGCATTTCTGTGTATGCATTCAACTTCGAGACGACATTTAAAAAATAGAGGAAAGGAAATTGCAATGCATTGAATGACTTCGGAGAACACAACATCCCTTTTTCTCACATTGATTGTCCTTGACCTTTTCTGCAATCCATTATTTTAATGATTTGTACCTCCAAAACAATCCAACTCGAGGCGATGTAGCGGTACTCTCCATGTTATTGCGGAAGAAAGGACAGAGGTAGATTAAGTCCCACCCGACGCAGATTTTTTTTTCCAACGATTCGGTGAATTATTTACTCGGGTAAACGAGCTCCGTGTGAGCCCCATTAAACCCGAGCGAACGAAAGAGACCCGGCTCCAAGGAGGGAAGAGAGCGCGGCGGGTCCAACAAAATCGCTGAACTCGAATTGCAGACTTACGGTCGCAGCGGCCACGTCGTTCGCCAAACGGCGTTGCTCAACGACTGAAAAAAATTAGCGAAAAATTAATTTAAAAAATCACATTTCAGATAGTTTTTTCCTTTTTTAATTATTTACTCCATGCGAACTGAAAGACTTATTCGAAGTGTATCGGATGCCGATTTGCTGCCATATTACCAAGCAATAGAAAAGTTGAAAGAATAAATTCGATTCTCGTTTTGGAGACGTTGTGGAATCATTCATGCACATAAAATGTCGAATGTTTGTTAGCTACAACTCCTCAGCCGTGTTTCTTCGAGGAAAGAAAATAATCTCAACGGCAGCACAAAGTAGCTATGGTTCTTCCGCAATCATGGGAAGGCTTAAGTGATCATGAAAATCGCATGGAATCGTCGTAAACGTCGTTGAGCATTTTCGCCTCAAAGATGTTATGAGATGTTATGCAGACGAGAAGAGGAAATGAAACTGCCACGCATTGAATGGCTTCGGAGACCTCCACATCCATCTCCCTAATTCAAATCGCCTTCAAAGTAGTTCAGCGGTCTTTTAATTTTTTTTTCTTCTAATCCACTGCTCGCGATGTGTATCTCCAAGGCCATTCAACGCGAGGTGAAGCAATGACACTCTGTGGACCGGTATTATTGGGCAATGAGGGAATAAAGGCGAATTAAGCTCCCCCGATCTGGTCGAGGATGAAGTCGTTGAAGTACGGGACCTCCGCCCAGACAGCGGGTCGCTCGGGGATGCCGCATTCCTGGGGGCCCCACGACGTTGATCCATACAGGTATCGGCCGCCATCGTCGGCAGTGCACACCATGGGTCCGCCTGAATCACCCTACAATCAAATGATCACAGAAAATCTCGTCATTGCTCTCCTCTCTGCTCAACTCAATGATAATTACTGTCTATACCAAACGACGTCCGGATGTTGTAGCAATTGACAGTGAATCCGATTATTGAAGAAATTACCAGGTGGGCCAAAAAAAGTCCCGAACTTTATACGCCTGCAGACGGAATACCATTTGAGCTATCGACAGGAAATATGCAGGGTCGACCGATGAAACCATCAACGAGCTTTCTAAGATTTAAGTTTTGAGGGAAATTTTGACCCAGTTACTTATTTTTCGAAAAAGAAATGGAATAAATAAATTTCCATTTCATATCCTTACGATAAAGTGATAAAATATGTATTTCCTCAACTAATTTCATTGTATCTGAAGCAAACAAATAAACAGGTTTCTTGTTGGAAAATAAGTTTTATAGATGGAAAAAGAATTGTTCTGAGTCCCATGTTATTTGTTACGAAGGAAAAAAACGCATCAATTTGGATACTAGTGCCTATGGATGCAAAAAGACCGCGGTTCTATTCCATTCCATATCTATACTTCTCCACAGTTAAAAAAAACATGAACGCCAACCAATTCAGTCCCGGCCGCGCTCCTGCTTAACGTGACCCCGGGAATTAGCTGCGAATCCATCCCAATTCAGTTCCATGTCGTGACGCTGCATTGTGATGAAGACAGATGAACCCACTTACATAGCACACGGTGTGGAATCCTTCCTCTACTCCGGCACAGATATTCTGCTCGGGAATCGGGGTGCTGAAGTCCGGCGCCCACATCTCCATGCACGTGTCGTCGTCGATGAAGTCGATGTCCACGTACAGGAGGTCTTCGCTGGTTCCGCCAGTCCAGGACGTCGCTCCCCAACCGGATGCAGTGCACGCCCCTATTCACGCCCAACAGAGGAATTTCATCACGGATTTGCGACATCACGTCTCAATCGGGCAAATTCCATCTAGCTCGTCCGAACCCTATTATTTAAATGCGGCATTTCTTATTTTATGTTTCTTACAGAAGCTTGACGATCATGTCTTCCAGGAAATTTCATCACGGCGATTGTAAGTGAGTCAATTTTTCCCGAAGATTTTTGTTTCCCTTATGCCTCCTGAATTTTTCTCGAACATTGATCTCGCTGAGCTGTGGCGTAACTAGGTAATTTGCCGCTCGGGGAGAGTGACTGTTACTGCCGCCCCCATACTCCGGCCCCCCCCCCCCCTTGGTAATTGTTATTTTCACATGCACACACGTTTTACTGGATAATGAGATTTATTAAATATTTCTGTTATTCAGGACTGATTCTCAGCACAAATAATGTAATCAAAATCAATTCTTACAAACAAACGACTGCAATCAAAATGCAGCTCTTCGCTGCATAATAACTTCGCTGAAATTCGCTGAAATTTAATAACTTCGCTGAAATCAATGGAAGAAGCAACTTGATGTTCGATTGACAGGATAGCAAGATTTGTAAGTCTTTCTTGAGACATTGTAGATCGCAGGTACGACTTAATCAGCTTCATTTTGCTGAAAGAGCGTTCACATGATGCAACTGAAACTGGCAAGGTCAACAGAATTTGAAGTGCTGTGGCCAATGTTTTATAGGCCTCCAATCCCATTGATGAAATGTATATGAGCAGCCCCTGTGGAGAGTAGTCCAGTTCTTCTCCTGATTGTTTTGCTCTTTTGAGAGAAGCAATGATATCGTTATAGTCCTCATACAGTTCAGATCCATTCAAGTCATTTGGATAAAGAAGCGCCAGATCAACACACTTCTTACGGAGCTCGGTAAGCTGCTCATCAGCTTCACAGTTCAACTGATTGACAAAGGATTCAGTTGTGCAGAGAAAACCAAACCGATTCTGTAATTCTAGCAACTGTGAAAATCGATCTGATATTTCAACTCCAATTTTATCCAAAATTTCCCTAAGGCAACGGCGCATTTCTTTCCGAGTGCTCAATCCAGCATCAGATCCACTTTCACCAGGCATGGAGCGTTTTTTTTTCATACGTCTGTCCACTGAAACACCCCATTCATTGCACATATCTTCAGCTTCAGAAATGGCTGTAGTACATAGCTCATTTTTCCAGACTTCAATTTTGTCAANTCTGTCGCTTCATTTTTTACTATATGGGCGCATGGGCGGCAAATAGCAAAGCGCCAAAATTGGTGAACACAAAACGCAAACTAGCTGATGAACACAAATTGTTGAACGATTGAATGACTCAATCACTGAATGACGGGCTGAACGTAATAAATATTCCGGGATTTCGTCACACTGGTGTTCACTGCTGCAAGCTGCGAGCCTGTGGCATAAACCGTTACTACAGTACTGGATGTATTGATTTTCAACCCCGCCTTTTTTCACAGGAGAGTTAGGATTCGTGTTGGAACTTGACTGAATAAAATGACTCGTGACTGCCGTCTCTCAGCATATATCGCAAAAGAGTGGTTTAGACGTTTGATATCAGTCATAACTCACTCGCAAAGGAAGTGAATAAAGCCCCTGCACTACTAACCGAGCTACCGGCATGCGTCATACCGGATACATATCGATAGTAAAATTGTATAATTTTTTATTTCCCCAGAAATGCTATTTGAGTCAGTTTTGCCGCCCTCAGTTCAGATGGCGGCAAACGGGAAAAGATCCCCAAAATGGGCATTTTGCCAGTGGGCGGCAAAATGGGCAAAAGGAAAAAAAATTCCACAAATTTTGCTTCTTTGAAATAAAAATTTATTAAAAGGCTATTTTGCCGCCCTCTGGACTGTGGCGCCCGGGGCGACCGCCCAACTTGCCCCCCCCCCCCCCTAGTTACGCCACTGTCACTGAGCCCAATGCCGACAAATAGCACCCGTCCTCATCGTACCTGGGGCCGTGGAGGGTTGCTGGTTGTTGAGAGCGAGCGTGACGTTTCCGACGAAGGAGTTGAACTCGAACGGGGGGCTTACGGTCACCACAGCCACGTCGTTCACCACGCTGCAACCAAAAGGCTCAGCTGTCATCCGAAAGCTGTCCAATGTCTATTCGAAAGACAAGCTGTAATCGAAAAACCATGAAAAGCCTTTCCATTCTTTCCTATCGTTTCTTCCATATGCAAACGGAGATGCTAAAAAAACTTTACCACATGCAATTTTCCAACTATAGGGGAAGATTAAATGATTCCGTCCGATTTTCCGTTTTGGTGTTTTTGCAAACATCATACCAGGTTTTTTTTGCCATTACTCACAACCTGGACCCTGTTAAACATTCCTTTCGAAATCGTTTTTCCTCAAAGAGGAAGAAAGAAATATCAAAATATTACTTGGGCACAAAGTCTCGAGATGTTTCCCATGTTCAGAACACCTTTAAAATTTAAACCTGCATTTTAAATGGGGGTATTACTTTGAGGTGAGGGTCTGGTGTGGCTATTGTCAAATTCCAAAAAGATTTCCAAGAGTTTTTGCTGAGAATATGGCACACGGGGGATGTGGGTTCGCTGCCCTGAGTTTTCTATATTATAGGGGAGGTTCAGATGTGTTTATAGCGGGCTCAAATCAAAGAACACAAGGATTTCATGAAGGTTTTGGTTTCCAGGACGAACGCATGGACCTAAATAATAATAATAGCAAATAATGGGTTAAGATCCTCCTTCACCATCTTTCGTGATCGTGGTCTTGGCAGAAAGATTGGCCAGGATTGAGCAATGCCCGATGAGATTCATTCAAATTGTTGGCGCTTGCACCCAAATTCAAACACTTCAATCCAGTGATCATTTGCTGACTCTCGCAATTCATAAGAGTTAGGGTAATCGTCTTCTCCAGGGATAATTGATAAGTGGAATGCAGAGACGTGGCACATTGGACTGACCCTCATTAGAGAAACTGGGATGCGGAGAAACAAGAAGTAGCCGAGACTTATGACGTAATATTGGAAGACAATAATGGTGAAAGAAGGGCCGTGAGCATTTAATTAAAACAAGGGTCAAGAACCGCATTGAGAATCATGATGTATCGTCTAAAGCCTCCAAAAAGACAACATGAGGGGGACAGACCCGGAGTAGTTGGGATGGATGACAGCCCTGGTGATGGTCCTCACTTGGGCTTCCGGTCCCGTAGCCGGCAGGTCGATGATGCCAGCGACAACCTGCATAACGATTTCGGCGCTTCAATTTATTTCCTTTTTCTCATTTCGTGTCAAGGCCGTTTGCATCGGTGTAACCACTGAATTAAGACGGTATGGTGGAGCACGAATGCTCGGCTAGCCAACTTCGAAATTGCTCATTTTAAGGAAATGGCGAATCCGAACGGAAGTGAAGGAAGAAGGTCACAAAAAAGATATTTTCGAGAAAAATACTAATATGGAAATCATGCACTCATGTCTCATTGTATTGCTCACTAACCACCTTAACATTTGGTACGTAGTAATGCTTGCCAACGAGATGTAACGCTCGAAGACGTAGGTTTTGCGTTCTATTGGTACATCATCACACGAGGTATAACATAATGGACACTTTCTTTAATGCCAGAGTATTAATGAAGGAAAGCGAAATCGAAACGTTATTGCTCAAAAAAAAACAGAAAATAACTCATTCTTCGTCATCCATGCGCATGGAAGGCTGCCATTCCGGGAAACTCCTCCTAGACGGATGAACGGATTTTAATAATTGATATGTCAATCGAAAGCTCATGACCCGGAGGCGATACTTATTGGGTCAAAAGTCAACAAATTACGCTGCGAACGTGGTTTCAATGGGTACAGAACACGCAGAAAGTCTTTCTGCGTGTCGGAAGCCTGCACGGGTTGACTTTCCCGAATTGAAACTTGATCGGCCCGATTGGAATCGGCACCCGACCCGGAACGCGATCGTCGACCGAAATTTGCTGCTCTGAGCCGCGGATCGTGCTGTGCTGACTTGGCCGGCCCGCAGCCCGCTTAGGTGTCTAAGCCAGAGAACTTCTCGTCTCCGATGACGCATTTGCCTCAAGGGGAGACGAAGGGATCTTCGCAGATCTATGCATAAACGCATTTTCGGGTGGAAAGGTTCAGATCGAAGGGCATTCCGTGCAAGAAGACAGGGTGGCGAACAGTGCCTTTGGCATGGGAAACCGTGCAGGACAAATATATTGAGAAATCTGAAACTCATGAAAATTTCCCTACACGCCGAAAAAACCTCTTTCTAAGGGATGGGTTGAGTGAATTCAATGCCTGGCCATCTCTCATCCATAGGCATATACATAATGCATACAGACAGAGGATAATCTGACTGCGTTAGGGTATCATTCCGGGGAAATTCCTCCTGAACAGATTAACGGAATTTCAGGAGTGAGATATCTATCGAAGGCTTATGACCGGAGGCGATACTTGTTCTAGTAAAAGTCCAAAAAATCGCCCCATTTTCATGTAATAAGGTCACATTTCGGCCAATAAGAATAACCTCGTTCCGAACACCATCTTGGGCTCACACAACATGACTGGTGTCAATACGCATTCGCTCGCATACCGGAAACTTGATTGTCATGCGACCTTCACGACGGGTCACGGGTCAGCACGGGTCAGCACGGGTCAGATCGGTTCTTTCCAGCCGAGCCAAGCTCAAGCTCTTCCCCTATTCTGCCCGGGCGTTCCAAAATCAGAACGACAGGTCTCACTTCAAGGCAACGAAGCGGAACTCGCTGAGCATTTCCATCAAGGCGAATAGGGTTTCCCTAAAGAGGGAACGCATCCCTGTTTAATTGATTGAAAGCAAGTCTATTCAAATTCGATGTGTGTGTCGATTTAGAATGCGATGAGACGGAAATCATCAGATATTATTAAAAGAGGGAAATTGAGAGTCTCCCATGACGGGAACGAACCCCCCCCCCCCTTTTTTCATCCAATTCCTGAGAGTTCCAAATTCGTTTGGTGTCTCATTTTAATGTTATAGGAATAATTCGTAAGATTATAACTTGCTGACGATAACTATCGGGTCGAAAGTTCAAAAAGGTCTACCATTTTGAAATATGGGTCCTAATTTCGGCGATAGCAATAACACTGAATGCCTTTCCGGGAGAAGTACCCACAACCAACAATGAGAGAACGAGGCATCAGAAATGACAGACCCTTTCCCCGACGGCGGGGGCGCAATGACCGGCAGTGAGCACGTGGGTCTGGTCCAGGATGGATCCGCCGCAATAGTGAGCCCAGCTGCTGCCGAAGCCATACTGCATCGACGCCTGGTATGGGAACTGGCCTGCAACCGAGTCAAAAATGATATTACTCCGACGCCCGTCAAGCAATGGGGTGAACGAAATTGTATGTTGGGGAGCAGTACCCAATCTGGCAAGTGTGCCACCGACGATCTTTCCGTTAGTGAACTTTCGGATGTTGTGGTCCTTCCGGGAGACCCTCACGGCCGCTGTTACAAAATCGAAGAAAACCTTGATAATTGACCGAAGTTGGCAAAATGTTAATATGAATTTGCAGTTTCAGGATGAAAATGCTGTAACATATCACACCTGTTTCCAGTTGTATCTTGATGTCAAACCGATGAATTATAAATCAACTTGAAATACTAATTTTCTACAATGGGAGTGTTGGTAAGATGAACATTTGAATTACGCAAAATATTCTGGTCCATTAATGTTCCATGGGACAAGGTACTGGTACTAACTGACCCAAGCGAAAGTTTTTAAACTTTGCTGGGCCACAGAAGAGAACCGTACCGTTTGATTTTCATTATCTTGCAATATATTTTAAAAATTATTCCAGAGGAATTCACAAGAATCGGATACAGTTTAGGCAAAGGAAGATGTTGAGACCGTTTTCACTAATCAGCTACCGCTATGAAAGAGATATTCATGGAAACGACAGCTTCCAAACATCCGACGTTAGCAAATTACAAGGTCAATAAGAGTGGCTACACGATGACAAGCAATGGATCATGAAGTCTGAGTCCCTCCCACCGTAGAATTCCATACACAGAAGGGAAACCAAGACCTGGGAGTTTAGGTTTCCCAAATCCGATCAGATACCGGTGACCATCGTCAATGGACTTCTAAGACACAATATCCAATGGAGTATCTCGCGAAAATCGGACAATTTTCAGGAAACCTTTGATCTGTGTCATCTCTACAGACGCCATACAGAACACCATAAGTCACCTTGAGCGGAGACGAGGAGGACAGCGAGAAGCCCGAAACGTAGCATGGTGATCGAAGTGGAAAAGAACCCTCCTCTCCTCTGCCTCCCTTCCTTTTTATACTCACATTTATCGCCCATGTGACTGAGGAAAGTTTCCCATTAGATTTCTCCTGCTTATACCCTCGGATTGCGAAATCCTCCTGTGGGTAACGTGACACCTGCTGCCACGTTTCAAGGATGCGAAGACGCGTAATTTCATTTTTCCTTGGAGACCGCCCTTACGGAAATGTCCTATAGGAAACATATAGTTATTTCTTATAGGAAACCAAGAGACTTTCCTATAGGTTTTTGAAACGCGAAAAACCTATAGGATCCTTTAGAATCCTATAGGATCCCTATAGGGTCTTATAGGTCTCCTGACTTATAGCATTCGGGGAGGATATTTTGGGTTTCGAAACCCAGGCATTACGACGGAAAAGGCGACCGGGGTTAATATTGGCGCAGCATTTTGGTGCAAATCAATTACCGATTAGGGGTTTTCCCATGGTAGGGACACTTGCATTATAAATACCAGTACTGCCAAGGTCTGTTTAATTTATGACCCGGTCCAGACATGTTGCTGGATTGCGCGTCCACTTCCTTCGGTAGAGAGAATTATTATTCTACTCTCGACCTGAAGAGATAGAAGACAGAACTTGCAAACACATCCCTTAACGGATAAATTCCACATATTCTCGTACGTGGTTTTCAAAGGGAATAAGCACTTTTTTCTGGCCTGGACTCCATGATTCTATCTGGAAGATGGGGATCACGAATAAGGAAGTGTCGAAGCTTATTGATTGCTACGATGAAGTGTCGAAGCTTATTGATTGCTACAATGAGGCAAGGCGAGACATTTGGGGATGTACAAAACTCTCTTATGAGAGATGATTCCATGGGTAAGGGGAGGGCACTTTTGTGTACTTTGAGAAATGCGAGAACCCAATATTTCCATCTAGTGGCCTAAAGGAGAACTTCAAACAGAACCCTATTGGCCTATAGGATTCTGTATAGGCCCTATAGCGAACCCTACAGGTCCTATAGGGAACCTTATAGGTTTTATAGGGAACCCTTCGGGTCCTATTCCTATCGGATTCCTATCGGATTATATCCTATAATCCTATAATACATTTTCGTAAGGGTGGCTAAAAGAGTGAACAGCTTTGAAGAATCCTTGAAGCTTTGGAAATGTCGGAACTGACAACTTCAAATCGCTTGTCATAGGTATTCCAAGGACACGAGTGTTTGCAGCACTGGGTCTTTGGAGAGTCCTCCTTTCAACAGATGGTCTGTTTTTATACATTCCCATGAATCGCCCCAGTGCCTGGGAAGGAAAAGTTCCCATCGGTTTTCCCCGGTCTGCGTCCGCTGGCTTGAGAAATCCTCGCCTGGGTACCCTCCCAGCTGTTGCCACGTGTAGAGGATGTAAAGTTGGATAATGCGGAAGAAAGGAGCAAGAGGCGTATTATTGAGAATGAGAATTACAGAGAATTGTGAGAATTACGGATCTCAAAAGCCTTCGATGAACGCAAGGGCAAAGGCTTGTGTAATGTTTCGGGCTCAACAAAATGCGCATTTTCATACTTTTATTTACTGTACTTACGGGCGCTCTATCTTAATGCCCATAGGTACATTCTAAAAAAAGATACTGATGACGATGAAGACCCCTTGTTTATCTGAAAAACTCAAGTGCGTAGGAGACCTTTGAAAAGAGAAAAAATGCCTCACTTTTCCTTGTGGGTCGGAAATGTAAAACCCAACCTCTCATTTTCTCCAGTTTAATGGGGATGGAAAGGGGGAGGGCGATAAGGAGATTCATCACTTACCCTGAAAGTTACCAAAGAAATTACTTCTAAATTTAGTACCTCTGTAAATACGATTAAGTCATCCGTTCTACTTTATCTGAAAATATAGCGGGCAAAACACTGCCACCAAAATAAGAATCCCTCCCCACGAGAGCACAACTAGGAATTTTCCTGAAATTACCACGTCGACAACGCAAGTGCGCGAAGATTCAGTCTTTTATTATATCTATAACATTGCTAGAGTTAGTGTCAGCGGCTCACTCACGATCATCTAAATATGTTCGAATTCTCGATGGTTAGGAAAAACGTTGACTTCCGTTGCCCCATAGTGATCCTAACAACCTGAAAACTTCCACAGCTGCTTCGTGCTCTGAGAGATAGAGGACAACGTCGAAATGAGCTTCGCATGGATGATGAAAACGGTCTACATCGCTATCGAGCCTCGTGCCACCCAGTATCTTCAACGAGGGCTGCCGCTAGATTCCTCTCCAGTACCATGGAGAACATTCAATGTCTTAACTGGTATTATTTCTTGACTTTCAACATGGGGAGCAGAGGAGGAAAAAACCTTCCTACAGGGTCTTACATAAACTTTTGTTAGGGGGGTACAACAATTATGGAGCATAACAAATATGAGTGTTATACATATTTTAAAAGCTAATTTTATTCTGATTTCATATTTGTCATTGGACATTATAATCGCTGGTGTGGTTGGCTATGACGAAAGGCAACGTGTGATGGACCGCATTCTAGCATATACTTATCAAGAAGCAAGGGAAACTAGTGCAACCTTAATCAATTGAAAGTAAATATCTCACCACTGAATCGCAGTGAGTGAATAAGTTACTGACAGCTGGAACAAAGGATACGAATCTCGTTTTACAAAATTTTATGACGGCAGGCCGGAAAAATTGTCTGAAGCGAGGAATAACATTGTGGTGGAGACCAGTGGGAAAAGACAAAGGAAAAAAATCTGCTGTCGAGTTGCAAAAAATAATTTCAAAGTGGTGTGGAAAGCTAATCAGACGACGGTACCATATCGATAATGACTTTAAGGAAAAAATAGAAAGTATGATGATTAGTGAGCTTGGTTCTGACCGAAATTCTGAAGCGGTTGTCCCGCAAAACTTCCAAAATGTTATTCATTAAATGAAAAATGAAGAATAACTTTTGAAAATTTGTTGAAATTATGCTCATTATGCATTTGATATCTGTACATGAAGCCAATGGCGGTCGCACAAAATTACTGCATTACTATATTCAGGTTGAATGAAGGTTTAAAGTGATACATAACTTACAATTGCTCTATTTGTACTTAAAGTTGTACCCCCCAAGCAAAAGGTTATGCAAGACCATGTAGATCTCTAAAATTGTTTTGGTGTCGTCGTTTGGTGCGTGGTAATGGTGAGCTTATTCCAACTTACGTACACATTTTCAAGCGCTGCATCAGAGGGATATCCATTGAATAAAATCTCTAATAATACTACGTATCTAATGTGGATGCCCTATTGCAAAAATTGGAAACCGACAATGAATTCATTCAATGACTTAAGGAGTGGTATGAAAGGTAAAATCAAATGAAAATGAGAAACCATAGGACAAAAGTTTCAGATAATTTCTGCTTATTGCAATAAGGGGATAAATAAAAAACTATTTATTGAAAACTATGGATTTCTTTCGCAACCATGAGAAGAATTAAGCGATTTTAAAATTCTCATACACTCACAGGGAGTCTCCTTTCACTTAATCAGCTCAAGGTTGTTATGCAGACTAGGGAAAAAATTAATCTGACGAGTATTGAATGGCTTCTGAGACCCCAACATCCATCTCCCCACTTCAAATCGCCTCCAAAGTAGTTTAGCCGTATTTATTATATTTTTCTGCAATCCACAGCTCGCAATGTGCTTCTCCAAGGTTATTCAACACGAGGGTAAGCAATGACACTTAGTGGACCGGTATTATTGGGCAACGAGAGAATGAAGGCGAATTAAGCTCCCCCGATCTGGTCGAGGCTTCGTGCTCTGGGAGATTATGGACAACGCAGAGGTGAACTTCACGTAGAGGTTGAACATGGACTACCGAGCCTCGTGCCATCCAACATCTTCAACGAGGTCTGCTGCTGGATGCTCTTCAGCAGTATGAAGAACATACAATGACCAAACTCATGCGAAGCTTGACCTTGGACATGAGGAGCAGACGAGAAAAAAAAGTTGTGCCGCCTTTCTCGACCTCCTATATTTCTTTGGTCGTGGTAATGACGAACTGAAATACAGTGTTCCTCTCTACGGTCACATTTTTACCCGCTGCATCAGAGTGACATCCTTCGAATATAGCCCCTATTAATGCCACTAATCGCATGTAGATTCAATGTGGCACAAATTGGAAACAGACAATAAATTAATTCAATACCTTAAGGATGAGAATGAAATGAAAAATAATATGAGTGCGCGAAAACATGGAGGACAAAAGTTGAAGGTAAAAAAGTACTGAATGGAAACAAATTAAAGAAGATAATTTCGTGAAAATTATGGATTTCCTTTGCAATCATGGGAATAATTGAGTGATTCTAAAATTCTCATGGAATCATTCCATGCGAATTCCCTTGGGTTTAACTCCGAAAGAGGAAATGAAACTGTCCCGAATTGAATGGCTTCGGAGACCTCCACATCCATCTCCCCACTTCAAATCGCCTTCAAAGTAGTCTTGCGGTCTTTTTCTTTTCATTCCAATAGATGTGTATTTCCAAGGCCATTCAACGCGAGCTGAAGCAATAACTTTCTGTGGACCGGTATTATTGGGCAACGAGGGAATGAAGGTGGATTAAGCTCCCCCGATCTGGTCGAGGATGAAGTCGTTGAAGTACGGGACCTCCGCCCAGACAGCGGGTCGCTCGGGGATGCCGCATTCCTGGGGGCCCCACGACGTGGATCCGAACAGGTATCGGCCGCCATCGTCAGCATCGCACATCAGGGGTCCACCAGAATCACCCTGCAAACATGATCAACATAAAATTTCGTAAGCGCTCTCTTCTCTCTGCTCGACTCTAGGATAACTATGTACCAAATGATGTCTGGAAGTTGTAGCAATTGGCACTGAATCAAATTAATGAATACATACATGAAAAGTATGTGAATTCTTTCGTTGCATTTAGAAGTGGAATCCAATGTTATTGATTGGATTATGGCTGATCCAGGATATACCTATAATGTGATCTGCGGATAGCTTGTAATGCCGAAGAATTGCGAACATTTTTGGGATTCTTGGCCTGTTGTAGACCCGACAAAACTATTACCGGTTTAAGATTCAAGGGAAAATATGTCTTAGTTATTTCCTTTTCGAAAATGAAAGAGAATAAATCAACTTTCCATATTTCCCTCATTAGTTTTTCTTTGTTCCTGAAGCACAAAATCAAGAATGTTTCTTTTCGCAAGAAAATGATTTTTTATGCAAGGAATAACATTTATTCTGAGTCCCATGTTATTATTTTCTAGGGAAAAAAATCCTCCGTTATGGCGTTGTGACTAGTGCCTATGGATGCAAAAATACCGCGGTTCTATTCCATTCCATAATTAATTTTCTCCACCGTTGAAACAGCATGAACCCCAGTCGTTTCAGCCACGGCCACGCTCTCGCTTAACGCGCACCCCCCCATGTATTCGCGGCGAATCCATCCCAATTTAGTTCGATATCTTGACATCGCCTTATTTTGAAAAGAGAAAACCCTCGTACATAACACACGGTGTGCCATCCTTCCTCGACCCCGGCGCAGATGTTCTGTTCGGGAAGCAGGGTTACAAAGTCCTGCGCCCACATCTCCATGCACGTGTCGTCGTCGATGAAGTCGATGTCCACGTACAGGAGGTCTATGTTGATTCCGCCGGTCCAGGTCCTCGCTCCCCAACCGGATGCAGTGCAAGCCCCTATTCGCATCCAACCGCGGATATTCATCAGAGATTAGCGACATCACGGTCTCGATCAGACAAATTCCATTTGGGTAGTCCGAATCCTATAGTTTTCATTATGGCACTTTTTATTCTCATAGATCCTTGCGCATTATAACTTCCAGAAAAACTGATCATGACGATTTGGAGAATGCGGCAATAATTTTCGCGGATGTTTGCTCCTTACATACGTCCTCAATATTTTTGAAGGATTGGACCTCTTTCAGCATTCCTTTCATTTAGAAAGGATCTTTAGTTTGAAGAAGTTTTAGAATAAGCTTCGCATTCAAATATTATTTTGCATATGACCTCGAAATCCCTTCCAGCACATTTTCTCGGAAAGAATATCCATGAAATGTAAAAAAAAAAGTAGAGCTAAAAAAAAATACTACCAAAATATCTCTAGAAAGACGAAACCGGCGGAACTAGAAAACAGAAATCAGAAACTCTCGCATACGTTTTTCCCAATGCTAACATATTGCATAGTACCTGGCCCGGTGGAAGGCTGCTGGCCGTCGAGAGGGAGCTCCGCGGGTCCGACGAACTCATTGAACACGAAAGGCGGGTTCACGGTCAGCACGGCGACGTCGTTCACTAAGCTGCAACCGGGAGACCGTAAAATGCCTTCAAGTCATCCTTTTTTTATCGTTTCTTCCAGGTGGTAACAGAGTTGCAATATAAATTTCCCTACCTACTAATTTCCAACAATGAGATTGAGCAATGGGGAATATGAAATGATTTCTACTGATTCCCCATTTTGTTTTGTTTTTTAATATCATATCAGACTGTTGGACCCTACCTGGATCCTATTAAACATTCCATTCGAAATCATCTTTCCTCAAAGAGGAAGAAAGAAATGACAAAATATTATTTGAGGCACAAAATATCGAGATTGTTCCCATATTTAGGACACAGTTTCAATGACGCATTTAAAACTATTCCCTGCATAATAAATGGCGGCATTACTTTGAAGTGCCGTTCTGGTGTGATTACGGTCAAATTCCGAAAAGAATTCCAAGGTTTTCGGCTGAGAGTATGTGAGGATGCGGCTACCACTGCCATAAGATTTCTAGTTTTTATTTTTAATTATTCGGGTGTGATGATAGCCGGCTCAAATCAAGGAACACAAAGAATCGATGGCGGAGCACGGGCAATGGCAATCCTGTTGCATTAGGTCGTTCTGGAAATCATTTGCATTCTCTCACAATTCATTTAAGATTTTTCTCAGTTGGGTTAACCGTCATTTCCAGGATTAATTGGAATGTGGAATTGGAGAAATCGCACGTCGAACTGACCCTCATTAGAATGTCCGGGGAGCCACATTGAATGATTCCGAAAGGTAAAAGAAGGGCCCTTAGCACTGAATTAAAATAATTCATGCGGTAAACAATAATACGCATCGCAATCGGACTCGCGAATGAATTTCCTTCCAGATGACTTCAAGGGCCAAAAAAGGCATTGATAATCATGACGCAAGACATCCAACTTAAAGCGTCTAAAAAGAGAGAAACGTGACAGACCCAAAGTATTCTGGATGCGGGACAACCCGGGTAATGGTCCTCGCTTGAACTTCGAATCCTGGAGACAGGAGGTCGGTGATACCAGCGACAGCCTGCAAAACGATTTCAGCATTGTAATTCATTTCCCTGTTCTCATTTCGTATCAGGGTTGTCTTTGTCGGTAAAACCAACGAATAATGGAATACGAATGCTAGACTAACAAATTTCGAAGATGATGCAATTTTTATTTTTATTTTATGGGAATGCGCGAATCCGGACGGAAGTGGGGTAAGAAGGCAACATTTCATATATTTTCGGGATGAAAATAGACTAAATTTTGAAAACCATGTACTCAGACCTCATTGCATGGCAATATTCAAATTACATTTCTGAAAAAAGGCAATGAAACTACTCAAAGAGAACATAATTTAGTATGCTTTCGGGTGGTGTTCGCTCTATAATGTCGGAAGGCGTTAAAACCAATGATCAAAGTTTCAGCCTGGGAACATGCACTATCCATGCCAAATATGTGGTACGTGATAATACTGGCAAACGAAATGAAAGGCTTAAAGACGTAAGGCTTTGTGCACTATTGGTATGTCACATCAGGCATAACAAGATTGTAATTTTTTTGCCAAACATATTTCTGAAGGAAAGCGAAATGCCATTGCTCAACAACAGAAAATAATTAATTTCCCATCTTATCACCATTAGGACACCACGAACGAGAACTAGGAATGACAGACCAATTCCCCTGGGACAGGGTGGCATTGACCAGCGGTGAGCACGTGGTTCTCGTCCAGGATGGTCCCGCCGCAGTAGTGTATCCAACCGCCGGAGTAATACTGTAGCGACACCTGGTATGGGAACTGGCCTGCAATCGAGTCCAACATGATGTATCTCCCCCGACCCCAGTCATGCAATGGTGCGAATGAAAATGTGTGACAGGGGAGCAGTACCCAAAGTAGCCGGTCTGCCGCCGACGATCTTTCCGTTTGTAAACTTCCGATTGTGGTGGTCCTTCCTGGAGACTCTCACGGCCGCTATTGCAAAATCGAAGAAAGCATGAGATGATAAACCGAAGTTGGCAAAAGGTTTACATGAATTTTGCACTTTCGGGGTCGAAGCGTTGTACCATATCACATACGTACGTGGTATCCTGCTGTCATAATGTGAAACCTTTGAATTATGCAGGCCAAGGAGCTGGCCATAAATTGACTTGAAATATTAATTTTTTTGCCATTGGAGAGTTGGTATGATGAACATTTCGATCACGCAAGATATTCCAGTCCATTGAAGTTCACTGGGATAGTGTGCTGACTGGCCCAAGCGAAAGCTTTCCTTCGCGGAGCGGGAAAACAAAATAATACCCCATCTTCGATTTCCATTCTATCGCAACGTATTATAAAAATTATTCCAGAGGAATTCACAGTAATCGGATACAGTCATCGGAAAGGAAGATGTTGAGACACCCTCCAGACGCCAAACAGAACACCATAAGTCACCTTGAGCGGAGACGAGGAGGATGACGAGAAGCCCGAAACGTAGCATGGTGATCGGAGTGAAAGAGAAATCATCGGAAAGGAAGATGTTGAGACACCCTCCAGACGCCAAACAGAACACCATAAGTCACCTTGAGCGGAGACGAGGAGGATGACGAGAAGCCCGAAACGTAGCATGGTGATCGGAGTGAAAGAGAAACCTCCTCTCCTCTGCCTCCCACCCTTTTTATACTCACGCTTATCGCCCAAGCGACCGAGAACAATTTCCCATCCGATTTCCCAAGGTTGCATCCTCGGATTGCGAAATATTCTTGTGGGTAACGTTACACCTGCTGCACGATTCAAGGATGTCTAGTCACGTTATTTCACTTTCTCGTGTGGACCGATCCCTTATTATTCGGAATCATTTTTCTCTTCCTCTGTTTGGAGGATCTTAAAAATTATTCAGATTTCGGAAATATATTTTAAAAGGCATTCCCGTTTAGGCATCTATTTACAGGGTGATTCACAAAAAAAAACAGGACACGTTTGAACGACTGCAATTGTAAAGTTGTCATAATGAAATTTTCACCATCGCGTGGCAAATTTTATTTTCTTTCATGGTATGAATCGTGATAGATAAAATGTCACTTAAAATTAAGGAGAGAATCGAAGTTTTGCAGCGGTATCACAAGTACGAAAATGCTGCAAAGTTCAGCGTCAGTGGAAGACTAAATTTAACTCTACTGCACCCACGAGAACGAACATCCTTGTATTGGGAGCAAAATTAAACAATATTGTGTGTGAATGTGCTGCGAGCCCCAGGATCTGGTTCTACCTGAAGTGGTGGTTTGCCAAAAATTAAAAAATCTAGAAGTTTATTAATTACAAAGTTATTTTAAAACTTTCCAATTTAGAAAGGCCCAAACTATCTGAGCCTAAAGCACAACATATGAGTAGATCCTTCCGCTTAGCCTACGGCCGAGAAAAGTCTCTGTTAACTTATCGCACGACAGCTTCAAGACTAAGACTTTCACCACGCTGATTAGAAGAAAACGAGGACGACCCAGCGAACGCAAGAAATACCGTCGCAGGCTAGACTACGCGAATCAGCAACCGCTCGAAAACACTCGCAACGTGCCGATTACAGGAAGGTGGCCGGATCGCCTGGAACCTTCAGGACGAGTCCAGCGTCGCAACACTCTCCGTCAGATCAAAGGATGCAAATTTTTGCTGCCTGTGGTGCCCTCCACATTCAAGCTGAGTAGATTAGTGACCATTTCTCGAATTGTTGCAGCAACAAAAAGGTCGAATTGAACGAACAACGTAGGCTGAAGGCTGTTCCCATCGAGTTGAAAGACCTCCAACGCTTGAGACTCGGCCTAGGCCAAGAACTTCCGTGAAAGCACCCGTCAATATTAGAGGTAAAGCGCGTTGGCTTTTGCGCTCCTCCAAGTAAATCTTGCGGATCTGAGCGGGCATGCACCTTATACGATCCGCATCCGTGGATACCCTTATAAAACGTCCACGGAAGAAGACAAGAACATCCCCCCCCCTGGTGGATTTGGAACCAGATGAACGTCCCTTCGAGTGGAAACCCACCAAGGGGGACATCCACCTGGTTCCAGATCCACTTCTGGGACTAACCGAGAATATCCAGCGCCGTCTCTTACAATGATTGTCTTAGAGCCTTGGAATGAAAGCTGAGATGCAATTCCTCTAGAACGAAATCATAGTCGAATAGATAGCTTCATTATAATAATCAATATTAGGTTCCGATCCTTTCACGAATCTGCGGACCATTACGAAAATGTCTTATAGGATTCCCATATATTCCTTTAGGAATATATAGGAATCGTATAGGAATCCAATAGGAACCTAAAGGAATCCTATAGGATCCTATATGCCCCATAGAGTTCAGTTTGGGATCTATAGAGTTCCCTATAGAACCTATAGAGTACTTTATTGAACCTATAGGGTTCCCCATAAGGCCTATAGGTTCCCTATAGGACCCAAAGGGTTCTGTATATGACCCGTAGGGTTCAGTATAAAACCTATAGGGTACGCTATAGGACTGTAGGGTTCGCTATAGGACCTATAGGACCTATAGGGTTCCCTATAGGGCGTATACGGAACCCTTTAGGCCTATAGGGTGCCGTTTGAAGTTCTCCTCTAGGCCACTAGATGGAAGTATTGGGTTCTCACATTTCTCAAAGGGCACAAAGTGCCCTCCCCTTACCCAAGGAATCATCTCTCACAAGAGAGTTTTGTACGTCCCCTAATGTCTCGCCCTGTCTCATTGTAGCAATCAATAAACTTCCACAGTTCCTTATTTGTCATCCCCCATCTTCCAGATATAATCATGGAGTCCCGTGAAGAAATATGCCCTTAATCCTTTTGAAAACCACGTACGAAACGTAGTAGACTCTATCCAAATGGAGTTTCAGTAACAAGACGTGCTTGCAGGTTCGGTCTTCTTTTTTCTTTGTTTTAGAGAAGAATACTATTTCTTTTTATCGAAGGACGTAGACGTGCAATCCAGCGACACAAGTGGGGCGGGGCCATAAATTATACAGACTCCAGCAGTAATGATATTATTAATGCTTTTGTCCCTACCGTGGAAAACCCCCTAATCGGTCTTTGATTAACACCGAAATGCTGCGCCAATATTAACCCCGGTCGCCATTTCCGTCGTAATGCCTGGATTTCGAAACTCAAAATATCCTCCCTGAATCCTATAGGTCAGGAGACCTATAAGACCCTATAGGGATCCTATAGGATCCTAAAGGATCCTAGAGGATTTTTCGTGTTTCAAAAACCTATAGGGAAGTCTATAGGTTTCCTATAGGACATTTTCGTAAGGGAAATTCGGAAATCGATGCAGGAATGAGTAACCACCCTTACGGAAATGCCCTATAGGAAACCTATAGTTATCTTTTATAAGAAACTTAAAGACTTTCCTAGAGGTTTTGAAGCACGAAAAACCTATAGGATCCGGTTAGGGTTTTATGATTCCATGAGTTAGGGGAGGGCACTTTTTTTTACTTTAAGAAATGCGAGATCCCAATACCTCCATCTAGTGGCCAAGAGGAGAACTTCAAACGGAACCCTTTAGGCCCTCTTGGGAACCATATAGTTCCCAAACGGAATCCTATTCCCAATAGGATTCCTATACATTCCTAAAGGAATATATAGGAATCCAATAAGGGAATTTTCGTAAGGGCAGAGTTCGTTCCGTTACCGCCACTGAATATTGTTTTCGAAATCTGCGCCCTGTCGAGCATCGGAAATCGTAGCATTATCCTTAGGAGTGACCGCGTCGATCGCAGTGAGACATATTAGAAGGGTGCAGTATCGTTTGGTCGGATCTCTCGCTGGATCGGCAGAATTTTTGCCGATTCGGTGGATAGAGTTTCGAGAACTCGAACGTCACAAATTTCCGTCGCGGCGAGAGGAGGTCTGCCTGGCGCGGCGAGGTGCGGGTTCCCGAGTTCGATCACGGCTTTGGCTTCCCTTTCTCGAGTGGTTTCCTTTGCATGTGGAGGGGGGTGAGAGAAAAATGTGTGTGAGGTCCTGGATTAGAGTTGGTGCAACCTCTGAGCATTAACTTGGGCATGATCGAAGTGATTGAGGAGTCGTCTCATGTCATCGAACCGGGAAGCCTTCACGAATGGGAGATGAATTCATGAATATAGACTCCGTCTGACTTGAGAACTGCATGGGGCACACGATTGGGGGAAAAAAAAGAAGAAATGCCTGAGGGTTGATTGTGATTGGGATCAATCTTTTGCACTTCCATCTAGTGGTCTAGAGAACTTCAAACGGAACCCTATAGGCCTATATGGTTCCGTATAAGCCCTATAGGTCCTATAGCGAACCCTACAGGTTCTATAGGGAACCTATAGGCCTTATGGGAACCCTATTGGTTCTATAGGGAACTCTATTGGTACAATATGGGAGTCTATAGGTTTTATAGGGAACTCTATAGGTCCCAAACTGAACTCTATGGGGCATATAGGATCCTATCGGATTCCTCTAGGTTCCTATAGGATTCCTATATACAGTATTCCTAATGGAATATATAGGAATCCTATAAGACATTTTCGTAAGGGTTCAGAAAGGAAAATGAGAAGACGATTTTTTTAAATAGGGAACAGAGTGTAAAAAGGGAACAGGCGCTACAGTATTTCATAATTCACAATGAGAGCTGAATTCTATAACAAACATTTTATTATTCAGTTTTTGGTGTTCAAATTTTGAAATTTTATGAAATTAGAAAAATATGAAAGCAAACTAAAATAGAAATGGCAAAAAAATGATCGCGATTGTGATGTACTATAGATGTAGATCCCGTAGATGTATTCTGAGATTTGCTGGTGGACAAAAGATGAGTCCCTTCACAAATGGCGAAATCGCGTTTTTGGTTTATTTGAGCGAAGGCAAACGACACTTGATATTACGAAATTATCCTGCCAACCGGCAGGATTCCGTCTTCTCGCGCTGACGGCCTCCTAAGTGAATATCGCCCGATTCTGTCCCTATTTGTAATCGACTTGCCATCCACCCCCGGTGGATGCAGGTGGGTTGCAGGTGGAATTTTTTTTGAGGGTAGACATGAAATAAGAAAAAAAGGCCCTGAAACGCAAAAATAACCAGCTGCAAAAGAGCCATCCTTCAGGAGTTGGGAAAAAAGTAATTTTAAAATCCAGCATTTGCACATTTGTTAAAAATTTGGTCAATTGGACCAAAGCATTTTATTTATTCACTTAAGTGAATTTCAGATTGTCTGACATTTACCAGCCTCCTGACGGGCTGATGGAAGGAAGAACGAATCGCATTTTCTTTGAGTGCATTTTGCCATTTGCTAACTGCTGGAAGTTTTTGGTTTGCCATCTCCAAGGCCTTCGGAATTGCATAGTCTTAGCCGTGCACTAATAAAAAAATAAAGCGTCCACTGAACCTGCTTGACCGGAAAGGGTTAGCGGCAAATTTTTTTCACGGCCGAATTCCAGTCATTGGTGCAACGACTTCCGGACCTCTTGGCATGGAATGATGATTCAAGATGCATAGTTACATTGTTTGCAACTGCAATGATGCATAGTTTCCATATTATAACTGTCTGAACATGAGAAGACACTTTATACCTCGTACCAACCCTATATGTGAGACTTTTGAATGCCAGAAAAATCTTTTACATCTGAGCTGCTTTCTGCAGCGATCGCTGTGCCATTGTGATTTGCCGTTCTCCCAGGGATCTGAGAACTTATCAACCTGCTTCGGGCTCTGGGAGATGGAGGACAACGCGATGATTAACATGAACTACCGAGCCTTGTGCCCTCCAACATCTTCAACGAGGTCGGTTGCTGGATACTCTTCAGCATCATGAAGAACATTCAATGACTTAACTCATGCCCATCTTGACCTTGGACGTGAGGAACAAAGGAGGAAAAAAAAAATTGTGTCGCCTTCCTCGACCTCTATTCCTTTGGTGTGGCAGGTTGCTGTGTGTTAATGACGAGCTGAAATACAGTGTTCATCTCAACGGACTCATTTTTACGCGCTGCATCGGAGTGATATCCTTCGGATAAAGTCCCTATTAATGTGGTGTATAGCGTACGTCTAAGTTACATCGTGTTTGACTTTTGTCTGTTACTTAAGTAAGTTATGGAATTCCCATCCATACTTTACTTTTTATTATAGTTATGCACTTTTGAACCTTTTGTTTTCGACAAGTGAAAAAAGTACTGAAATGCGATAAATTAAAGAAGGTAATTCCGTTGAAAATTATGGATTTCCTTCACATGGATGAAAATAATTGAGTGATTCTAAAATTCTGATGGAATCGTAGCGAATTTCCTCGGGCTTCTTTAGTACTGAAATGTTATGAGATGTTATGCAGAAGAGAAAAGGAAATGAAAATGTCCCGAATTGAATGGCTTCGGAGACCTCCACATCCATCTCCCAACTTCAAATCGCCTTCAAAGTAGTTTAGCAGCCATTTTTGTATTTTCTTCCAATCCACTGCTCACGATGTGTATCTCCAAGGCCATTCAACGCGAGATGAAGGTTACTGTGAGACACCTGGCCATAATAACCGGTTGCTCCCTTACTTCCACCTAATTCGAGGGGGCTAGACGAGCTCCTACTTCAGCAACTTCATGCCCTGGAGGCGGGTCTGCCGCCCAGCGAGCCCGATGCCGCATTCCTGGGGGCCCCATGACGTGGATCCGAACAGGTATCGGCCGCCATCGTCAGCATCGCACACCATGGGTCCGCCTGAATCACCCTACAATCACATAATCATCAGAAAATTTTGTCATCGCTTTTCTTCTCTCTGCTCGACTCAGGGATAATTATTAATATATACCAAACGACGTCTCCATGTTGTAGCAATTGGCACTGAATCATATTATTCAATAAAAAATATAGGGAAAGAATTTCAGTTCTTTGACTGTATTTGGAAGTGGAATCCAATGTCTTGATTGGATTATGGTTGACCCAGAATACATGTAAAATGTTTTCCGCGGATGGCTGGAAATGCTGAAGAATTTCGAACATTTTTCTGATTTTTGGCCTGTGGTCCACCGATTAAACCATTAACAGGCTTTTTGTTTTAAGGAAAATTATGATCTAGTTCTTAATTTTTTTAATGAAAAAGAATATATATATTGATATTTCCCATTTCTTATTATTCCGCTTAGGCAATAAAATATATCTATTATGTCTTTAACAATGTTCCTGAAGCTCAAAACGACGTAGGCTTCTTGCCGCATGAAAAGGATATTTTATACGAGGAAGAAAATTTGTTCTCAATCCATTGTTACTTTCTCCCTGAGGAATAAAAAATATCCATTTCGGTATTAGTGCCTTTAGATAAAAAAAAAAACATTCTATTCCACGGTAAATTTTCTCCAATGTTTAAAACAACATCAACACCAGCCAATTCAGTCCCGGCCTTGCTTTAATTTAACTGGACCGCTGGTATTCACTGCGAATCCATCTGAATTCTGTCCAATTTCGTGACTCCGCCTTCCAATGATAAATTAACTCTCTTACATAGCAGACTGTGTGAAATCCTTCCTCGACCCCGGCACAGATGTTCTGCTCAGGAATCGGGCTGCTGGGGTCCGGCGCCCACATCTCCATGCACGTGTCGTCGTCGATGAAGTCGATTTCCACATACAGGAGGTCGTCGCTGGTTCCGCCAGTCCAGGACGTCGATCCCCAACCGGATGCTGTGCACGCCCCTATTCACGCCCAATCGCGGAATTTCATCACGGATTAGCAACATTACGTACTCGATGGACAGATTCCATCTGACTTCTCCAAATCCTATCGTTTTCATTATGGCATATCTTTCTTTTTTTCTTTCCTTAAATATCTCTGCAGATTACGTCTTCCAGAAATACTGATCACGGCGATTTTAAATGGGGCAAATTTTCCCCGAAAACTTGTTTCCTTCGTACCCTCTGAATGTTACTCGTGCCTTGCACACTGCTCAGCGTACCTTTCACTTGATGGGATCCCAAAATTAAAAACGTTTCAGATTTAGCTTAGGATTTGAATGTCAGACTTTTGCTTATGATCTCAAACTCCCATTAAACCTGATCTTTGAAAATAAAACCCAGGCAATATAAACGCCCCCCCCCCCCCCCCAACAGGAGCATCTTCATCGGAGAACGCGGAGCTTAGAGAAAAATACTGCGAAAAGATATTCAGAAAGATGAACCAGCGGAACCAGCACTCAGCGATCAGAAACGCTCGTGCACGTGCTTCACAATGCCAACATTTTGCGACCGTTCCCATCGTACCTGGTGCAGTGGATGGCTGCTGGCCGTTGAGAGCGAGGGTGACGTTTCCGACGAAGGAGTTGAACTCGAACGGTCACCACGGTTATGTCGTTCCTAACGCTGCAACCGAAAGGCTCAACGGTCATCCGAAAGCCTGACTAATGTCTACCCGAAAGACATGCTGTAGTCAATAGACTGATAAATGTCTTCAATTCATTCTATCAATATTTTCTCATTTATCTCATATGCGAATGTGGACGCAAGAACTACTTTGCCGCATGCAAACTTCCAACGATATGAATTGCCGAAGATTTTATGAATGTTAAATGATTTTAACAGATTCTCCCAGTTTGGAGACATTCTTGATATTTTTCGTAATTATCAATGTAGAAAAATTTATAGACAACTAATCCAGGCTAGACCGTATCAAAACATTCTTCTTCAAAATTACTTATTCGCAAAGAGAATGAAATGACATTTCAAATTTGTTTCTGTCGCCCAAAGTATTAAGATGTTGCTCTCTTTCAGGACAGAGTTTAAATAACGCCTTTGAAATTCGTGCCTTCATTTGAAATGGTGGCTCTGCTTTGAGGTGCCATTGAGGTGCCAAATGACTTCCAAGGGAATACGTGGGGATGGGGTTATCGCTGCCTTAAAATTCCTAAGTTATAAGAGAGGAACGGATTTGGTTATATTGAGCCAAAGTCACGGACATGATTTTGATGGATGCTTCGATGCCAGCATGAACTCATGAGCTCGTATGTTAATGATAATTTTATGGGCCAAGCACATCCAGTACCCAATACTTCGCCGTGTCTAGTAAAGTTTAGCAGAAAGATTTACCAGGATTGAACAAGGCCGAATGAAATTCAACCCAAAATTTTGCATTTGTCCTAATTCTAGTGCTTTCTTGGTGGCACACGTAGAGCATGAGAAATGGCAACCCTGGTTCTGAATGTTATTCTGGAGATAATTTTCCTTCTCTCACAATTCATGAGTGCTTTCAGTTCGGTAAATCTTGAAGGTGAAATGCGGAGACAATTCACAAGGGAATAGACTCTCATTATCTGAGATTATCTGAATTTACCTGTAATGCAGAGAAATATTAAGCAATCGAGATTCATGACGTAATTTTGACTGGCGCATAAAGGCGAAGAAGGGACCTGAGCATTAAAAAAAAATTTCAAACTGGGAATAAAAAATACTCATCGCAATCCAACGGGTAAGAATATCCTCCCTGCAGAACACGCTCTTCAAGAGCCAAAAATCACAAGAGAATCATGACGCATAGCTTAAAGCCTCCAAAAAGGACAGAGCGTGTGGGGCAGACCCGGAGTAGTCGGGATGGGTGACGACCCTGGTAATGGACCTCACTTGAGCCTCCGATCCGGTATCCGGTAGATCGATGATACCTGCGACAACCTGCATAACGATTTCGGCGCTCATCGTCGTGTCATGGTCGTTGTCACCGATATAGTAAAAAATAATTACATCAGAGTGATGGAATACGAATGCTCAGCGAAAAAAACTTTGTAGATGATGCGGTTACGTAAATGTCATGGGAATGAACGAATCCGAAAGAAGGTGAAGTAAGCTACAAGGCCTGCATTTTCTGCAACAAAAATATGCTTACCACGAAAATCATGCATTCATATCTCATCACATGACAATGTTTAATTGGCTTTATTTAAAAAAATAAGCAGTAAATTGTTCAGGGAGAAGAACATAGGATGGCTTTGGAGTGGTGTTTGTTCTCCTATGTGAATATTATAACTTATGACCAAACAATCTGCCTTAGGACAGGCATTAGTCACCTATGCATTTGGTACGTGATAATGAGGCGTGACGCTCGAAAAAGTGAGGTTTATGTACTCTACTGTAGGTACATCACAACAGGTATAGCATATTGGTCATAGTTGACTGGAATACAGTATCAATGAAGGAGAGTGAAACGTCATTGCTCAAAAACAGCTAGGAAATAATTTTCATCATTTCACAAAAAGGAAAAAAGAACTAGGGTTATAAATGACAGACCCTATCCCCGACGGAGGCGCCGCAATGACCAGCGGTTTGCACGTGGGTCTCATCTAGGATGGATCCGCCGCAGTAGTGCGTCCAGCCGAAGAAGTCGTACTGCATGGACGCCTGGTATGGGAACTGGCCTGCAATCGAGGTAAAATAATGGATATTTCGTCCGACGCCCGTCATGCAATGGGGTGAATGAAAATATATGATGGGGGAACTGTACCCAAAGTGGCAAGTGTTCCACCGACGATCTTTCCGTTAGTGAACTTCCGGATGTGATGGTCCTTCCGGGAGACCCTCACGGCCGCTGTTACAAAATCGGAGAAAACGAGATGGTGAACCGAAGTTGGCGAGAACGTTGGTCTGAATTTTGCAATTTCGGAGTCGAAATGCTGTACCATATCACATATGTTTCTTGCTGTATCATTATGTTTAACCTTTTTTATTATACAGGCAGAAGAGTTGGCCACGAATCGACCCGAAATAGTTTTCTACAATGGGAGTGTTCGTATAAATAGCATATGAATTAGGCACATATTTTGTTTGATTGATGTGCACTGGGACAGGGCACTAACCTGCCCAATCGAAGTCATTCAAGACCCATAAAGCCACAGAGCAGAATAATGACTTTTTAAAATGTATTACAATGCATTGTATTCGAAGAATTATTCCAGAAGAATTCATAGGAATTCCACAGTGGAATATATTCAGACCGGTTACACAAATCAAGAACCGCTTAACCAGAGACTTTCTTGGAACAGAAGCTTCAAAGTTGGCAACTTCCAAGGTCACTGAGAGAGACCACACAATTGCAGGCAAGGGTTCATGAAGTCTGAGTCCCCCCCTTAGGATTTCATACAAAGAAGGGAAACAGAGTGAGTGAGAGTTTAGGTCTCCTAAAGGCGGACCAAATGGACTGGACTAAATAGACTTCGACCGCATCATATGCAATTTAGCATCTCATGAAAATGGTTATACCGGGGCGAAAAAAAAAGAAACATTTAATATGTGTCCTCATTGCAGGCGCCAAATAGAACACCATAAGTCACCTTGAGCGGAGAAGAGGAGGACGGCGAGGAGAAGCCCGAAACGTAGCATGGTGATCGGAATGGAAAAGAACCCTCCTCTCCGCTGCCTCCCTTCCTTTTTATGCTCACACTTATCGCCCAAGTGACTGAGAGGAGAAATTTCACATCGGATTTCCCGTGATTGCGTTTCTGGACTTGCGAAATTCTCTGATGGGATGATTCACACCTGCTGCCACGATTCAAGGATGTCAAGTCGAGTGATTTCACTTTCCGTGAAGGCTGATACCTCTCTTGTCGAAGTCTTTTTTTTCGGTTCCTCGCTTTGGAGGGTTTTAGGAATTTTTCTGCTTCCGGAAATATATTTCAAAAGGTATTCCCGTTTAGGAATATCGATAGATTCATTCGATAGGTTTATTTGAGTCGTATTGTCGTACGTGGGATTGTCTTTCTTGCTTCACCCATATTCACAAATTCCTACCATTTTCGAATTAGCATTGCATTTTGATCAACCCATACCTGCATTTAAAAAAATAATAGCTCAGACTGGAACTTTCCGATGGTTTTACACCATCGGAAACCAATAGCAGGTATTTTAGAAGAACATGATTTGGTCCTAAGCACAGATGTGAAACTTAATGAAATTCCATCCCTATTTTGGAACTACTTTCGTTTCTGGAACCGCATATGGTTCCTACATACAATATTTTTTTTCCAAATAAATATTTTCCAAAATGGTTCGATGACAGGGAATGTTGTGTTAGGTGCCTGGACACTCCCGGAAAAGCAAGATATCATGAAGTCATGACAGGGCTGTACCGATGCATCGGCTAACACCGGTATCGGCCGCCGGTGTTGGACTATCGGCCATATCGACCATCGGCAGGTTTGGAACCAGCCGGTGCCGATGTTCAAAGAATAACGTGTTGAACGAGGAAAAATAAAAAATACCACGTGAGCCGGGCTCGGTAACCGATTCTCAACGGCAATAGGAAAAAATTAAGGCTATCGCAGTTCATCCATCCCTGAATTGCTGTCATTTTCGATAGTTGAGGTAAGAGGTTGAGGCTTTATCACCGTCGCGGTCACATCTCCCCCTCCAACTCCTCGAATCACAGGCGACGGATTATGGAAGGTGGATATAGGTTCCGCGCTCCGATCGAGACAAGAAATGACGGAAACGAGGCAGAAACCTGATCCCGATCGCAGTGAGAAAAGACTGAATCCGCCGACACCCCCACCCCCCCACCCCACCCCCCCCCCACGCCAGCATCGATGCACTATCGATGTTTCAGGTCGATACATAGGTGTATTCGAAACTCCCAGTGTAGAAGCAATAATAATAAAATTGAACGTGCATTCATAATGTCTATTTGACTTTTTAAAAAATTTGTCGAATGCTTTTTCGCTGTTTCTCTACACGTCACAATAGGCACCTGCCAGTGAGAGCACACCGGTGAGAGCACAGCTAGTAGACCGCCGGTCTGCTAGCTGTGCCCTTACGAAAATGTATTATAGGATTCCTATATATTCCTAAAAGAATACATAGAATCCTATAGGATCCTATATGCCTCATAGAGTTCAGTTTGGGACCTATAGAGTCCCGTATTGAACCTATAGGGTTCCCCATAAGGACTATAGGTTCCCTATAGGACCTGCAGGGTTCGCTATAGGACCTGCAGGGTTCGCCATAGGACCTATAGGATTCTCTATAGGACCTATAGGGTTCCCTATAGGGCTTATACAGAACCCTATAGGCTTATACGGAACCCTATAGGCCTATAGGGTTCCGTTTGAAGTTCTCCCCTAGGCCACTAGATGGAAGTATTGGGTTCTCACATTTCTCAAAGGGCACAAAAGTGCCCTCCCCTTACCCAAGGAATCATCTCTCACAAAAGAGTTTTGTACGTCCCCTAATGTCTCGCCTTGCCTCATTGTAGCAATCAATTAACTTCAACAGTTCCTTATTTGTCATCCCCATCTTCCAGATATAATCATGGAGTCCCGTGAAGAAATATGCCCTTNCTATAGGTTTTTCGTGTTTCAAAAACCTATAGGAAAGTCTATAGGTTTCCTATAAGAAATAATTATAGGTTTCCTATAGGACATTTTCGTAAGGGTGCTCTCACCTTCCCGTTGCACGCGCGCTGTACTCGAGTCAGTCTGGAGTGGAGAGGCCCGTCATCGCGCTGGAACGTTTAGTGACCTTAATGCTTTTTTTCCCCTCCAGTTCGGCCAAAGGCCAAATAATGAGAAAGTCAATCTATTCTGTGGAATGAGGGGTCAGTTGGGTCAGTCGGGGTAGCGGTCTTCGGTCACGATTATTTGGATTTTTTAAATCCAACTGACCCATCATCCTACAAAAGAAGATAGACTTTCTCACGCTTCCGGCCAAACATAGATGGAATGCGACTCGATTGATCTGCCCTCTTCCTGTTTTCTCTGACCGTTAGGGTACATAGAAAAACTCAAAAGCACTGAGTGAAAAGGTTCGAGGGTCGATTGAGTTTGGGGGAAATCCAGGGCATATGCCATGAGGACCGATGGCAGGTGGAGGCTGGCAGGAGAAAAAAAATCCATTGCGGGAATTGAAGACTCTTGACTGCCGGTCAGGGCTATTCCAATTACACCTCCGAATCCAAGATATACCGTCTCTTATCACCACATATATTTGTATGGGATATTGGACCCATACTTCTTCGCATTAAAATTTAAAATTACAACTTCTTTTTTCGTCTTTCGCAGATAAAATATGCACCAACGCAATCTACTCAAGAGCTTGCGATTGATATTTGACATGTACCATTCGTCGTGTGGTCCACTTCGGATGTCTTCCCCTCAAAGAAAACATTTAATTGGCATTCAATTAGTAATGAGACGTAATGGGCGTCGTTTAGATGTTTAGAAAGCACTAAAGAAGTAGCGTCGGGGGAAGAAACTAATTCGATTTTAAATTAATTGATGAATGAATGTTTTATATATTTGTTTGCATGCCAACGGAACGTGACAATCAATTTCAGACAACTTTCACCTCGATACGATCTCTCCATGGTCAGGTGATTCGCTAAATTGCGTGTTATATATGCGGATTATCTAATGGAAGAGTTGTTATTTAATCCAGCTGTCTTAGAAGCCGGATCACGCTTCTCAAAGAGCATCTTCCATTTATTTCCTTGTTCCAAATAGGTATAATGGTGCTTCAAACTTTCATGTTTTCCCTGTTGGCGCACTTTTGACTAGCAATAACTAATGCTTCATTCCAGGTTCGGGCATGATTCTTTCAGAACGTCACGGACTCCACCAAGTTTTCTTAAAATATGAATTATTTTTATTTTATTTTATTTCTATGTTTTATTCTATTCTAATTTATTTAATTTATTTTTATTCTATTCTATTCTATTTATTGAAAAACAGGACGTTTGAGAATTTAATTTGAATTCGTTCTCTAACGAAGAATTCGCCATGAATCGATTAATAGAAAATGACCGATTGGACATCATATCTAAATTTATTGATAGTTAAAGAACGAAATTGAGAGTTAGCCGCTCGTATTCCCAAGGAATAGCCGTGAAATGGGAGGAAAAGGCCCTGAAACGCAATACTGACCCGCTGCAAAAAGTGCTATCTTTCCGGAGTTGAGAAAAAGTAATTTTGAAAAAAAAAAATCGTTTGCATTTCTGCTATAAATTTGGCCAAATTTGACAAAAACCGTCTTAAGTGAAGTTCAGATAGTCAAAAATGTTACCATTCTGATATCGTCTGATGAAATGTGCTGATATTAAGAAGAACCTATCGCATTTTCTTTGCGTTCATATTGCCATTTGCTAATGGCTGGAAAATTTTGGTTTGGCATGTCAGAGGCCTTCGGAAGGGCATTGCTGTGCACTAATAAAAAATAATGAGTCCAATGGACCCACTGTTTCAGAAAGGATTAGCAGTGAATTTTTTGCCACATCCGTATTCCAGTCAGTGGCGCAACGACTTTTGGACCACTTGGCGTGGAACGGCCCATTTCTTAAGTAAATCAATTCATTATTAAGTAAATCAATTCCTCCACTCCGGCTTGAATGCGATGCGCACTGCTCCTCACCAGGACTGCGGAGGCCCAGAGACCCGGTCGCTTCTCGTCAAATGACCAAGCATAGGCAACGGATACCCAAACAGCGTCCACTTGCTAGATTCTGTATACGTTCACGGCGTTAGACACCATATACAGGGTGGGCCAAATAAAAAATTGCCATTTTTGTGAGTTATCAATTTGTTTTTAGGCTGCCGATTCGGATGAAATTTCTTAGGTTCATAGGGTGACTCAATTAGAGTTTGCGTGCAGAGTTTCAAATTATGATTCCAAAATTTTCGAGAATGGTGTTTAATTTACTTTTGATCACCAAAAAAAGGAAGTGCTAATTTTTTAATTTAAGCTTAAAATTTCTCACAACTGACCAAAACAAACAAGCAAATAGAACCAAAACAAAATACAGAAACACGAAAAACGGAAGGACACACTTTGGTTTAAGTAAGTTCATTTCAGCTGAAAAGGTGCTCAACGTGCCCTCCATTTTCCTGAACAGAAGCGTTTAGTCAGGGACGCCACAGATCAATGACTTGGTCAGAACATATTTGAGGC